CAGATTCCCAAAGAGGGTGTTTGATTTACATTACCAATTCTTAATCGCTAAATCAGAATTTCTTTTGGATGACAGTAGTTGAAGTTTTGGGTTTCCTGGGTGGTGCACCCACCTGCCATTATAGAAGACATAAGGTTCAGTCCCTGGGTCAGGAACAACCCCTGGAGAAGGAAATGGCAACCCACTTGAGTATTCTTTCCTGGGAGTATCCCAGGGACAGAGGAGCCTGGTGGGCTACAGTCCTTGGAGTTGCAAAGAGTCAGACAACTGAAGTGACTTAGTAAAGATGAAGTTTACCTTCATGGAAAAAAAAGAGGGCAAGAGTATAAAGATACTAACAAATATTACTCCATAATTAAGACCAAAACCTGTTGGTTTAAGAAAAAAAGCTGTATTCAATTATTTTGTAAGTCATTTATATATTTGAAATTTGATTAAAACATAAATCAAGCCTTAGCAATTTGACCCACTGCTACCTTAAGTAACTCATACTAAAATAATTCTAATCAAAACTTGAAATTAAAACTTCCACTAGCCAGTAACTATAAATATCTGAAAGTTATACAACTCATTTAGCTTGAAAATACATGATATATTTACACTACTTCCAGATGATTTTTTCCCTGTCATCCTAATTAGTTAAGTCTTAACATATGACTATTCTGCTAAAACGATGAGAAAATTTGGCATTTAGGTATGCAATAATATTTGGGACACTGCCCAGGCTAAAACAAAAATCACTGAAAGCACATGTTAAACAAGCATTTTATGAAGAAAACTTCATTTAACTGAAGAGAGGCAGGAATAATTGGAATGGTTTTCCATGTAAACTCCCTGGGTGTTTTTCTGAATGTTTTGATAATAAGCAAGTTTGTGAAAGATCCTCTATTCTCTTCATCCATTGTTGCTATGGTATACTCTTTATAAATATTAATAATGTTCACAAATGAAAAAGAATCCATCTATATCAAGAAGAGTGCCATCTAAATTTTGAGAAGATTAAATGTGTTGATAAAAAACTAATTAAGCAATGAAACATTTCCTCAATTAAAACTTATAAAAATTTAAATGACAAGATTTTTTTACTCTATTTTCACATGAGAATATTGGCATAAAATCAAGCCAAAATTACATGGAATTGATTAGAATTACAACTTGGGGACAGATTTCGCATCAGGTTATAAGAACACAGTCATTTAGTGAATTTAACTGAAAGCAACCAACACCATCATTGCAAAATCTGTGACTTTGACTACTGATACACTATTTAGAACCCTGTTTTTAAAAACATAATTGAGATGACTTGCTATTTAGTCAGTCTAGCAGCAAAAAGAAGATAAACAAAATATATTAAAATTAGCTTGATGAAATGTGGAAAAATTAGTGTATTTACATTTACCTAGGGAAGTCTGCCATGGATATTTCTTCTTTGTTATGAACATGTTTTTATTTACATTTGTGTGTTTGAGGTAGTGCATTTGTGCATAAAATTCTTGTTGCCCTTCCTCACAGATCCCATTATCATGTAACATAAGATGTATTAACTTTATTTTGTAGTATCTAAGTTTTCTTAATGTTGTATCTTGATGTGAAGAACTGACTCATTGGAAAAGACCCTGATGCTGACAAAGATTGAAGGCAGGAGGAGAAGGGGACGACAGAGGATAAGATGGTTAGATGACGTTACTGACTTTGACTGACATGGACATGACTTTGAGCAAGCTCCGGGAGTTGGTGATAGACAAGAAAGCCTGGCATGCTGCAGTCCATGGGGTTGCAAAAAGTTGGACATGACTGAGCAACTGAACTGAATGTTGCATCAAAATATTTGAGATATGGGATATTGAGGAGAGGAGAAATGACCACCACCCAAGGACTTCGCATCCTTTTCTGGGAAAATGACTTGTTTGTTTTCTTTACACACAAGATTATTTTATCATGTTAGGCAGAAGTATGACCTTATTATTGTCTTTACTTGGATATTTTGGTATAGTTTAAGGAGATATGTACGGGTGCCACATTGACAAGGAATGGACCTGTGATGGTTAATTTTATAGACCAACTTGCAAGCCCAAGATATCCATATATTTGGTCAAATATTACATCAGACATTTCTATGAAGGTATTTCTTTGCTGGAATCAACATTTAAATCAGTAGTCTTTGAGTGAAAGCAGACTACCTTCTTAATGTTGATAAGACTTCATCCAATCAGTTGGAGTTTTATCAGGAAAAAAAACTAATCTACCTGGAGGAAGGGTGAATTTTGCCAGCAAGCAGATGGTTTTCCAGTCTCCACAATCATGGAAGTCAATTCCTTAAAATAAACCTCTCTCTCAGTACCCAGATACACACACACATACCCCACACTGGCTCTTTTTTTCTGGAGAACCATCACCAATACAAAGTCCCATATTTAAAAGCTTGAGCTCTGAATCCAGATTACTTGAGTTCACTCCTAACTATACTATAAACCAGGTGGGCCTCAGTCTTCACATTTATAAAAGGGGGTAATAAATACTAGCCCTTACCTCACAGGATCACTTTGAGAATGAAATAAATTTTATACACAGAAAGCGTTTAGAAAAAGCATGCTCTATATGTTGGGCAATAAGTTCTAAAAACTAACAAATATTAAGTACAATTTTCAAGCTCCTTCTAATATAGCTAGTAAAGTTGAATTTAGTCTTGGAAAACAGAAATGGCATGAATTAAACAGAAATTTTTCGAAAAAATGTGTAAGGAAAACTGACATGAACATATAGGTTTTCAAACTACTCATTTCTTGAACGGAACTCAATCAGTTCCGTTCAGTCGCTCAGTCGTTGTCCGACTCTTTGTGACCCCATGGGCTGCAGCATGCCAGGCTTCCCTATCCATCACCAACTCCCTAATCCTACTCAAACTCATGTCCATCACATCACTGATGCCATCCAACCACCTCATCCTCTGTCATCCCCTTCTCCTCCCACTTGCAATCTTCCCCAGCATCAGGGTCTTTTTCAATGAGTCAGTTCTTTGCATCAGCTGGCCAAAGTATTGGAGTTTCAGCTTCACTACCAGTCCTTCCAATGAATATTCAGGACTGATTTCCTTTAGCATTTACTAGGTGGATCTCCTTGCAGTCCAAGGGACTCTCAAGAGTCTTCTCCAACACCACAGTTCAAAAGCATCAATTCTTCAGCACTCAGCTTTCTGTATAGTCCAACTCTCACATCCATACATGACTACTGGAAAAACCATAGCTTTGACTAGATGGACCTTTGTTGGAATACCAATAATGAGCATTTAAAATGACTGAAGTAAAGTACATTCTGCTTTATACACTATCTGTGTTCTTTAAAATGTGCCTGGCCAATAAAAAACATAAATAATCAAATAATATGAAACTGTTGATATAATATCATCTCAGAAAAGCTTTAAACTTGGTTTCTAAAGGTTAATAGTCCTTAACATTTGCCTCTATATTTATAGTCTCCACTTGGCCTCTATATATTTCTTCCACTTTTCTAGTTGCTCCTGCTCACTACCCACATGCATCCTTTCCCTATAATTTCACCCCCTTTCCCTGCAATTCTCTGCCAAGTATATATTGTTTGTGTTTTTGTTTACCGTAGTTTGTTTTTGTCAGAGGAAAGCCTAACCAAACATTTACATCCTTTTGGCGTGGGGAGAAACTTCGTAACACTGACACAAAGCTGAAAATTATAAAGAAAATAGTGATAGAAATTAATAAATATCAAAGGCCTGATTTCAGCATGTCAAGAAAGAATCACAAATAAAAATTAAAAGGTGAATGACGAATGTAGAAAGAACATTTTTTACATACTCTCAAGTATTTAGTAGAAACAATATTGATCATTATTCTACAATATTTTACACTTTACATTATACATTCACACAACTTACTCATATTAACTTCATAACCATCCTGCAAAGAAGGTAGAAAGCAAGATTTCTCAGCACAGGTACTAAGGACAGGGCAGGCTTGGCTGTGGGCCACTCACTGCCCTGTTGATTAGCATCCCTGTCTTTACCTACTAGATACCAGGAGCCTCCTTCACGCCCACCTTACCCAGGCTGTGACAACCACATGTCTCTGACCATCACCAAATGTTCCTGGGGTCAGAATCATCACCAGTGGAGAACCACTGCTAGAAAGAAAGAGTGTCTCCTTTTTCATAAGCTGGGTGAAACAGAGAAGTTAATCGACTTGCCGAAATACACCTCTCTTCTGAATGACCTGGAAAACTGACAGTTATAGGACATCAGCATGAATGCTTTGGGTAAAACACTAACTGCCACCAAACAAATCAATTGTGATTTTTCTAAGCCAACTGTCTTCTACTATAGACATCTTTGAGCTCACTTTCTTCTCGGTTGATTCATTCATGATTTCAGGCTTTTTCGTCCCCCAAAAGGAAAACATGCCATTGTAAATTTCAAGTTAAAAATTTATAATGTGAAAATATACAGAAGCATAAAACATGTTTATACAGTGCATGCCTCAGTTTTTTAAAGCAGTTTCTATCTTAGTTTGTGCAAGATTTATGAAACAAGCTACCACTCTTAATAATCAGGAAGCTAATACACTATCTAACCTTTATGATCCACCTCTGTCAGACACACAGGAAACACTGAAAACATCCTCTTTTTATAGAAGCAACATAGCAGAAAGCCAGACATACACTGGGAGGTAAAAGCAGAGTTGAAGATACTTTGATTATCTGACCAAAAATACTTCCAATAGACTTGAGCTTCCATTGAAGCTTTGCGTTTGCTCAATGATCTGACAGTGTGTGGTCTTATGCAGTGCAATAAATAGCAATGCTTTCTTTCATGTTATTATCCTTTCCCCATGTCTGAAAAAATACTAGACTTTCATTTTAATAAGTCTAAACACAACCACTTCAAATGATTAATCAACCTCTGTGTCTAAGCAGTGTTCACCCTCTTTCCAAACTGTTTCTCAAAAACAACAGAAAAGAAAAATGGAATTGTCTCATGTAATGCACTGCCATCTGTGTGCAGGCTGATAAGATGAAAGAGAATATCTGAATGTCAGGGGAACGTGGTTAAAAAGCATACCTTCCATGACATACACCAGTGACCCCACATCTCCTTCTTTGATGATGCAGCTGTCTTTGCCATACTCCACTGGGTACATACAATCCACAATCTCTTGGATCTGCGACAGCTCCAGGTTCTTCATAAAGTCATTGTCAAGGATGGCCTCCTTTATGAGATCCTTGGACCTGCGGTAAGAGAGGGAAGATTTACTGGCGCAACTGACAAGCGCTTTCACAATCTGTGAGGTTGAGCAGAGCCAGTGTCTGGCATACATTTTCTTGTTAGGAATCCAAGAATTTCCTGACCAGCCCAAGAGTAATTCCATGGAAGTAGGAAAGACACTGAGAAGTTTCCCCTTAAGTAAAGTATCATTAAATGAATATGGGACCAGTAAATAAGCAAAATCACAGAGCTCCATTTTGTTTCAGGATTTTTTTTAAACCCAAAGACTGTTGGCAAACCAATGGACAAACATCTTAAATTGAAGCTTGAAACTCAGCTAAAGAATGAATGGGAACAGAATACAACAAAATTTTATAGAAGAAACACTATTATTACTATGTTTATAAATTATAAAAGAATATCAGGATGTACTGTGCTGCACACAATTACAGTAAAACACAATATGTTTACTTATATTTAGGTGCCTCTTCCACTAGATATTATGCTTTCTGAGGGCAGGGACACTTTGTAGTTCTTTTCTCCACTCTATGTCCAGAGTCTACTACAATACCAGTTATATATAGGACAAGTGCTCAAGAAATGTATTGGATTAAAAAAATGATAAAGAATTGATATTGAATTAGCTGTTCAGAACAACTGATATAAATGTGAGAGTTCTTTATCCATACCACGCTTCTTTAGAGAATATTTCTCTCTTCAAGCAGCTTACATGGAGGTAACCAGGCAGATAAAAGTCTACCGAACAAGTTGCTTTACACAACATAGCTTAAACGTGGGATTAAACAGGTAGTCGCTAGGAAACATGTTTACAAATTTCTCTAATTAGGATTCAGTGGTTAACAGGGAAGTTTTCCAGAACTTGAAAGAGGGTGATCATTTAGTTCTCTGGGAAAAGAAATACCAAACAACTTCCTGGGATATAAAAATCAAAGTAAAGGGAAATGGAGAAATACTGTGTCAGGAGCTGCACAGAACTGTCAGAGAAGTCAGGAGCTGGTTAAGACAAACACAGAGACCTTAGCAACATGGAGGGGAAAAAACACATCTGGAATTTTATATCAAACATCTTAATCTGAAAAGCATCTGTCTTTGTCTTCATTTGCTTAACAAGTGGTTTTCAGGGAAGCGACCCGCAGTAGTGAATGCTGACTCCAGCATCTGCACTCCCCTGTTCTGCCTGACTTCCACTCTAGACCTCAGTCTAACTGATCCAGCCTTCACACATTATCTTTTGCAATGATTTGGTTCTGAGTTAATAAAAAGGTGCACATCAAAATGAAAACAATGAAAACTATCAACATGAAAAATATACTTAGAATGGGCTGTTTTGAGGCAATTAAACTCTTCATGAAGAGTTAATGGCAGGGAATTCATTATTACACTATTTTTAAGTGAAAAAGGAAGATACAGAATAGTCTTTAGAATATGAAAGCATGTGTGTGTGTGTGAAATGAAAAAAAAAATTGGCTTTCAAATTATGTATATTTGGGTCCCAATCCTAGTCCTGTCATGTATTAAAAGTTAGCAGGTTGCCTTACATTTCTGAATTTCCATTTTATAAAATGGAAAATGGTATTTTAAAAACTACCAGCCACCAACAGAGGCATGAAAAGACGCTCAACATTTCTAGTCATTAGGGAAATGCAAATTAAAACCACAACAGACATCACTCCACGCCCATTAGAATAGCCATCACACACAGGAAAAAGAGAGATAATAAATGGTGGTTTGGATGCAGAGAAAAGGGAACCCTTACAATGTTGGTGGAAATGTAAATTGTTACTGCCACCATGAAAAACAGTGTGGTGACTCCTCAAAAATTTAAAAACTAGAACTACCATATGATCTAGTTATTCTACTTCTGAGAATATATCCAAAGTGAAAACAATAACTGGAAAAAAAATCTGAATTACCATGCTCATAGTAAAATTATTCACAATAGCAAAGACATGAAAACAACCTAAGCATCCCCAGTAGATGAATGGATAAAGTTGTGATGTGTGTCTGTATCTGGATCTAGATGTAGATATATAGATTTACAATGGTATATTATTAAGTCATAAAAATGAGAAAATCCAAACATTCCTAAAAACACAGATGAATCTTGAAGGCATTATTCTAAGTGAAATGTATCAAAGAAAGACAAATACTATATGACCTCCCTTTATGTGGAGCCTAATTTAAGAAAAAAAAAAAAAAACCTCATAGAAAAAAAGGGATCAGATTTGTGGTTACCAGAGGTGGTGTCGGGGACAGGGGGAGGAAGAATTTGAGAAAGGTGATCAAAAGGCACACACTTCCAGCCATAAGATAAATACTAACCAATGATGTAAAGTGCAAAATAATGACTATAGTTAACATTACTCTATGGTACATAGGAAAATTAATAGAGTAGATTCTAAGAGTTCTCACCACAAGGAAATATTTTTTTTATCTAGATGAAATGATGAATGTTAACTAAACACTGTGATAATCACTCCCCAACATATGTAAATCAAACCATCATGCTGTACACTTTAAATATATATACTGATGTATGTCAATTATTTCTCAATAAAACTGAAAAGATATGTGAAGGTTGGTAAAAAGATAAAGTTAGTTTCAGTAAATGGTGGGTGAAAAGGTGGCGGTAATAACTGCAGTTGCAGGAAGTAGTAACTGAGTGTGCAGTCATGACTTAGAACAGCAGCAAAAGGAAATAAATTAAATGTTGGCATTGGTTGCCTTTGGTGACAGAATTATATTTTTTCTTTCTATTTTTCTCTATAATTTTCTAGAATGGGCATGCTTTTCATATGAAAATTTCTTTAATTTCAAAGGTAGTTTCTGAAAAGCAACTGTGCTATGAGGGAAAATAAAAATCTACTGCTCATTTCAATAATGACTTAGATACTTAATACTGGTTGACTGTTATTGGTATAATTGATATTACTCTTTACAATAGATTCTCTTTCACATGGCCTGTGTCTAAATACTAATGGCAGGAATTTTCACTTTATGAACAGATGGTGATGAATGGCCAGAAGAGAGCTTCCGAATAGACTCTATTTAAAAAGTCCTGTTTGTGAGAATTTTAGTTTGTCAGAACTATTTAACTGCATGTTTCCTTCAAAGTTTTTTTTTTTTTAATTCTGTCTCCTAAAATCTTATTTCTCCAGAGGCAGAGAGTTGTTTTCATTGAATATTCAACATAAGATGCAAAATTGTGTCTCCATCTATGATTTTCATAAGCTTTCCCTTCTTAATTATCTTCACCATTCCTGACCTCAAGGTCAAGAACCCATAGCAACTACATAGTGACTCCTGAGATCTACTGTTCTAGGATTGCTTTTCCAAATAACAGGGCTTATTTGATCTTTAAGAAATTAATTTTAATCAAGCTGCATAATATTCTCTTTATTAAAAATTCCTTTATTTTCATTGAGTCAGAGTGTAAGGTCATCAATGGGTTCATATTTTTTAATATAATAAAGACTAAAGACTAGATATTATCAATCCCAGAGTCCCAACTTGTTTAACTACAGATGGTATCGGATCCTTTGGGAAATAATAATAGTGCTCCATTAAAATCTAAGCCCTAGAAATGCTTCAAGATTAAAAATAAAGCCCTCTTCCAAGAAAATAATTAGCTACATCCAAAGATGACTGAAGAAAGCCACTTTCTTTCTACTCATAAACATTACAATTAACCAGCTTCATAAAGACATCAGAAAAGATGACACAACTTAGTCTTACACAATCCCTTAGAATTATTCGAATTTTCCAAGTGCTTACCACAAATTGGAGGAGAGGAAAGGAATTTCAGGATGTGCCTGCTTCTGCAACTTCATTTTAAATGGAGAACATTCAATCTCAAGTCCCTGAAGAAACTAACTAGAAGCTTTTGCATTTGCCTTTGTAGTACTTTAAAATAAACTCAGAAATATAGGACCTATGTCTTATCATTTATCCATTTATCTCTTCATGGAGGTATTGCCCAATGACATTTGCCTCTGAAATATCCCACATAATCCCTCTCTGCCTTCACAGAGTGGTGTATCTCAAAGATGTTCTTGTCAGTGAGCAATGCTCAAAGCCCTGCCTCTTCAAGTAATTTTTCCTTTATATCCTTTCCAACTGAAGGCCTGAAACCTTAGGGCAACTCTCATTAGTCTCCACTTGCTCGAACATTATAAACCATAATCAATCAGAGCTTCCACCTAACTCTTCTTGGAATCTTTTTCTTTCCCTGAAGAAGCAGTCTAACACACTCATTGTAACTAACATGTGATGCTGCATGCGGGATCAGCTGGGCTGTGTTCAGTCTCGGAGCTGAGGAAAGCTGCTATCACAAGTTCCAGAAGGTGGCTATCTGCCCTAACCCGAGAATGTATCTTAACAACATTTTGCAAGAATCCAGCAGCCTGACCTGAAAGGCAAAAGAAGCAAATATAAAGATCTTAATTTTTTTTTATCCTTCATGTCTGCTTCTGTGTACAAATAATCTATTTCTTTTAAAAAAAAAAGCTCTTTCTTCCATGCTCAAAATTTGTGACTTTTTCAATCCAAACAACCATAAAAGTAACTTGGTTATTTCAGGCTGGCCCTATTGATTTCTCATCATCAAATTGTCAGCCTCTGAAATATTGGCTTTATATAATAGTGTGCTGTTAAACGCACTCTCCAGGAAAAAAAAAAAAAGCCCTCGTTTGCAGTGTTTGCCAATTTCCATGGTATAAATACTCCCACCATAGCCAATTTCAAGCTACTAATGCAAAGTCAGCCTGCTTGCAAAATTCCTGAAAATTTAACAAGCAGTTCTTATATGAGCCAGTCTGTTGGCTCCAACACATCAGATATAGATTCTTTTCCTAACACCCTAAGAATTTAGTGTGCCTTCATTTATAAATGCTAAAACTAACATGATGATCTTTCCTTCCTTAAAGATTTCATTAGGCGGTATAACATCCCCAGATAACCTCTGCCAGGATTAGCAACAGTTCTTCCAAATTTTTAAAGTTTA